CGTCAGTTCCAAAAATTAAGTTTTCAGAAGATATCTCAAAGCCAGGACTCGGGTATTTGTTCATTAAATAATTCAAGAAGTTCCTTTACCTGTTTCATTGAAGGGACTATGATAATTGTGTTGCTTGCAAACCATCCGAATTTTTGGATGAGGAATATTTTTCCCGAAGGCGTCACACAGCTATTGCAAAAATTTCACTCAGCATTCGTAGTGTTAAAAAAAAAACGGTATGAAAATTTTAAAAAAGATGAGAACTGCAAGTTCGAAATTTTTATGTGACTTTTTAAAATAAATCCCTTTTTTCAAACATCAATGCAATAACTCCTTAAAGTTTTGTAGTCACAGTACAAAGGCACGTCATTAACCCTTAACCATTGACTACAAATAAAATAAATACCAGACTTGCTGGACGTGCAGATTTTGCCAGCAAAAATTCTTCGGACAAAATCTTGCAACTACTGACAAAGAGAGAACCTAACTTTCTCTCTTATTTTTCCTCTCATTTGTAAGAGAACCTGGTAACCTCTGGCGAAATGAGAAATGTAACTGATTTATGCCTTTGTTCATGTACAACGGTCCAGGCCTTTCGGTCAGCAAACATACAGATAATGGATTCAAAATCAATTGTACGGGCAGGAAATGATTCCAATGTTAAAGTACCGAGCCTGGTTTCATAGTAGAACTTAAAAAAATTATAATTTGTGCTAATAGACTAAATGAACGGCCGCCTTCAGTAACAGTCGATTTGCTTGTTGTCTTTAAATATTTAATTTCTTAAATCAAAGAGATAAGGAAGGCTACGTAATGGTAACTTCATTTATTCCAAAAAATGTTGCCTTTCCACGCAAAATGTTCCAAACAAGATATTTGATCTGCGTAAACTCCTAGCATCATGTCCTTATCCACTCAAACTAAAATATCAATACCGAGACATACGAAGAAGAGATAAGTAGGGATAAAGACATGTTTTACTGTCTCCTATAAAATGTTGGCAACCTCGCATACGAGGTTTTGCATTTTCTTGATACGCGGTTTTGTACTTCGAACGACGATATCAAAAGCTTCAAAAACCTGAAACTTTCAAACTATAACTGAATGTTATACTATAATTTATATATAACTCCAAAGAACGTTATAAGTTCTCAACATAATACAATGTAAATAATGTAAAGTTTTTTTTCAATTTTACAAGGTATGAGAATATTAATTTTTTCTTTCGATTCATAAGAGATTGTTTTTGTATTCCCTTTTCCATGAACATAATTTTTTTCATACATAAGAAAATCACGAAGCTCCTGTTCAGTTTTGTTATTGCATGTTTTATCATTTTTTTCATTTTTTCCCTTTTGTCATGTTTCTTTTCACTTGTTGGCCTTCGCCGGGCCTCTAACGTTCAGACGGGCCTGGGTCAGTTGACGCCACTGACGCCCCTCTCTACGGGCCTGGCTGTGAGACAATGGACCTCATGCAGAAAAAGTGAGCTTAATTTCCGGCTCGATTTGCAGTACAAATTTTTGAGCTTAAGCTCATTTATTCGGTGCGAAAATTGAGTCAGAGCTTAAGCTCACTTTTTATGCATGAGTTCCAATATATTAAATAATTTTTAAGAATTCAGATAATAGCCACAATTACTCACTAAAAAAATAATTTACAAATGTATTTATTTTTTTTCGATAAAGCTTCACTAGATATTGAGCAAGCAAACACTTTTGTTCTTTTGTCACTCTTCTTCCGTTGCTGCTTTCTATTTGGCTTAGTAAAGTTCAAAGTTTTTGATAATGCTGTGTAGTCCAAACGAACAACAATTGAAACATTTTTAGCTATGCAAAGTAAAAACTTATTCAGTTTTCTGGTGATGTAGTCTTAGCGCGACCGAAAACAAATATACATATATATGTATGCATGTATGTATGTATATATATAAAAGCATATACCACCTGCAAATACGCTTGCACATTTATTACATTGGAGGGATGAATGTATAGTCCAAATAGTTCATTTAAATTAAATTGCGCGTCTTTGCAGTTTTTTATGTGCACTTCGCTTTTTCGCCTGCTCTTGCAACACTGCAACGAACTTCTAGCAAGACTGGCGCTGTCACTGCGACTGTCGCTGCTAATTAACCCTGAAAAGTTGCAGTCAAGTAGACGAGTTGACTGGCAGATGCTCGTTTTCATGGCATGCGGGGATGGGCCATTTGCGGAATTAAGAACGGAAAAGTGACTGTAAAATGCTGAGTGCAGCACCCGTTTCTCGCAATGAAATTTCGACTTAAAAGTAATTAAAACCTTTATACATTCGTAGGTACATTTAAACCCATATTTAATTGTCTTTCTTCGGTAGCAACTATCTTGCAGTATTTAATTGTTGTTGAACGTTTATTGTTTTTTTTTTTTGGTGGCATTTAAAAACAATTTTATGTTAATTACAAAAGTGTTACTTTGTCGCTTTGCCAGTCGTACACTTAGGACAAAACTATAGCGCATCCTATGTTAACAATTGTTTTAAACGAGAAATGGAATTGTTTTTTTTTAATTCATTTATTTATTTTTGTATTTTATTCAAGATCTCTGTAATTTGTTGAATAGTTTTAGTTGCCTTGTGAACTACAACGGTGACGGAAAAATATATTTCCTTTAGTAATGTTGGTGAGTGAATAAGTAAAGGCTGAAAATAAATTAAAAAAGACATCCTTAAATTAGCCCTTTCATGAAAAAAGTTATAGCTAGTGTTACGAAGTGGAAAATTGGAAATGCTTGGTAGGCCCTGTTTTCATATATATGTATATACAGGATTTGATTCTCCCTTAAGCAAAGTGGAAAGAGTAAATTATTAAAACCAACTGACTGGACCAGATTCTAAGAAATTTTTGAAAGTAGGATCCGTACACCCAATCATTTACAAAATATTGACTATCAAAAAAAGAAAAAAACCACTTAGCAGCTATGGTCGTTATTCTTTTAATGCTTTGTACTCAAAGGGTAAAGCCATACCACCTTGATGAATCCCAAAGTTAGAAGTTCTCAGGAGGCAAGTGCCGAAATTATTCAAGCCAGCGCAGCAAAAGGAAACCACGAAATGCTGGGAGGAGTACAAGGATCTGCTTCAGATTAACAAGAAAATAATAACGAAGGCAAAGCTTCTGTAGAAATATCTGGCGCCATAAGCAATAACCCATTTGGACATTTGGAGGAAACCAAAATATTTGCGGCTATTACTTTTTATGTAGCCTAGCTGGCGAGATGGGGATTTCACGTACGCATGGAGTAGGGGTTGATGAATACGATAGTATATATAACTTCATTTTTTCTGAAGTCGACTTAGGCGGTTATTACTCGTGACCATAGACATAGAGAGTTCGTCTGAGACCACAAGGTTAAAGAAAGCCATATCTAAAGGTTCCATCGAACAGCGACTTATTTAAACTGAGAACGGATCGGAAGCCCAGAACAGCGAAGCATCCCTGGATGTCTTACTTAATGCACACTTCCCAACAGAAATTTTTTGGCACTCGGAGGAGGTTAAACTAAACGCCGCATAAATCACTGCGACCCAAAAAAGCCGAGATGTAAAAAAGTCTCGTCACTCGTGTTGGTTTGGTCAGCAGCCCTAAGGATTTCGTGCCACTTGAGAATTAGAATTTGCCAGTAAAATCGCCGTAAAAAAACCGTGAAGAATCTATAGTAAGGCCCCTAGCCACATAAAATGTTGGCATCACCATAGGCGGGGTGTTTCAAGCTCCCTTCCACACAGCGACAGACCCACAGCCGAAGAGCAATAGCCTAAACATTTTGCAAGACCAAATGCAAGGGATCCCACGGTTTAGTGCGCAATGAGAGGAGAACTGTGATATGTAGTATAGATCATGCCATATTCTTATCTAGGAAATACGAAAGCACCGACAAAATCCTCCAGCGTCAGTTAACTCGAGCGCCTACGGCAGGAAAAGGCTTCACTGTCTATGCCCGCCTTACAAACACTAGCCAATGGCCCAATTATCTACTCGCGCTTAAATGGTACCAAGCTTCCGAAATGGATGAGGATTATTAACCGCCTGGACAACTCAAAGGACCCAAATGGTAGTGATGGTGAACCTATCTCTCCGAGAAAATATGCAAGGGTTAGTCATCTTCAGCACTACGGATGTTCTTTAGGCCCCGTAAAGCCTCTACTGTAGAGGCCTTTACCGGCGAGGCCGTATAACCTATTCTAAACTAAGCTACTCATTCCCAGTATTATGTGCTATCCTTGAACTGGATCGTTGTTGTGGGGAAAGCTTCTTCAACATTTTTTATTCTGATGAGTAACATTCTTCAAGGGAACAACTTAGACGTGTCTCGCCAGTAACGACCTACCTTAAATATATGTGCTGACAATGATAGTTAAAGACACTTATTAGCTATTAATCTCAAGCGCTTATAACTTCAACACAGAATATTTATAAACGCTTGAGTGCAGTAATGAGGATTATTCGTCACGCAAAACGACCACCGAAACTATTTATCCCTGACTGATTAATATCGAGACGTCAAGCCAAAATTACATTGTCACATTTATTTGCAAAGCTGCTCATTATTTTCGCTAAACAAGAACAATACTTATTAAATAAAAGAGATTAATGCGAGCACCTATTGCAACAAAAAGAAGTGATGTCAGCAATACAAAAACAAAGACAACTTAAGCGGAAGAGATAATAAGTAAATGTAATGAAATGTTGCAATGCTGACAGGCAGATCCAGCTTCGCGTGAACACAGACAATAAACGAAATAAGGCAATAGTAAAATAGTGACGTTTTTAGTAACTTGGCCATGTCAACGCAATGTGCAGACAGCTTTTAAAAGTTATGTATGTACATATGCATATATAAACACATGTATTCATTGTATGCGTGCGTAATTTTTTTCCAGAACGCGCATACTTTTTGGTTTATTTTTCTTTGTCTTCTCCGTCGCTTCTGTTACAATTCTGTACATTTTTGTGCATTGCTTTCGTAGTTTACCTCGTTTTTCATTGCCGCCCTTGTGCATTTCGTTCCACTCGGCCATAGCTTGTTAGTTTTGGTCAGTCCGTAAAGGACATCCTCTGTGCGAAAGTCGAGAAACAAAAGTGATGAAATGTTGACGTTGCTTTACAGCGGCGATGTCCACAGCAGGAAATGCTAGCGCGATACAAAAAAACAAAAAAAAACAACGGCGCAACATGCATTGAAATGCCGGAAAGTAGCGCAACACTTTACGACTTCAAAAAGCTTAAGTGGCAGCGCACTAAATGTGTCAAGGCTACATAGTTGGATGTCCTTTTTTGATTAACTCTAAGCGGCGTATATGAAGTGGATAGATACAAATTGCGGAAGGATTGTTTGAGTTTAGTCATTGCAATAGAAAATATGTAAATAGTCAAACCCTTCGAAATACCCGAAAGGTATCACTTACTGTCCGTTTCAGACGTTATGATAACCGTGTTTTTTTTTTTTTTAATTACAAAAAGTCATATTTAAAATGAAAGGTCTTGGCTTCTAAATGTCATATAATGTATTATATTTGAGTAGGGTTATCACCTTTATACAAATTATAAGATCTTCACCGTTCGTTGCACTAAAAAAAATAGATATCAAGTGATTGGAAATAGTCTCCGGATGTGCAGTAAACTATTATTTTTTTAGTGGAGTTCACAAAATTAAAAATGACGTCTGGAAATGAGGTCTTCAGATATACAATAAGCTGCCACTTGGTTTCTCCAAATGTGTATATGTACATGCCAGGCTACACGGAGTAAATGATACGGGAAAAACGCAAGTTCTTAAAACCTAGATATATAAATGTGAATGTCTGTTTGTTTATTACCTTATAACTTCTGAATCGCGGCACGGCATCGCACGAAACTTTGCACACTTATTTGCGTTTACCCCGGGAAGGTTATAGGCATAGAGAAAAATGCACAGCACTAACTAAAATTTTCATGTTTTATATCTCTTGAAGTATTTGTGGTAGAGCTTTGGAACTTGCTGTCAAAATAAATAAAACTAATTCCATACTCATGGGAAAATATGGGCGGTATTGGAAAAGGGGGCGTGTCACCTCCCATAGGCGTGAATTATTTAATCAGCTCTAACTTCGGAACCGTAAGTCACAAAACTTGAAATTTTGTGCACAGACATATCTATGGTAGGTGCTTATAGTAAGGTATATATAATGGGTGATTTTTTAAGAGCTTGATAACTTTTTTTTTAAAA